TCGTCTAAATGCAATCCATTACGATCACGGCACTCATATGAACGACGTCTAAAAATGTCGATGACTGCGCGGCAAGTCAACACTGTAATACTTGCCATTTCTCTTCGGATATTTTCTTTCAGGACATCAACTGATCGCGGAGTGGTGTCGTACACTTTACTCTTGAGGTAGCCCCATAAAAAGAAGTCCATTGGGGTCAAATCTGGACTACGTGGTGGCCAGGAAATGTCTCCTCTTCGAGAAATTACTTTGCTGGGAAAAAGTTGACAGACGACGGGCATAGAAGTGTTGGAGGTGTGGGCAGTTGCTCCGTCCTGTTGAAACCAGGTCTGCGGATTATAGCCTGGAAAATTCTGCAACGCTGGTGTCAAAAACTCTTCTATCATTGCTACATACCGCTCCGAAGTAACAGTTAATGCGCGACCTCTGTCGTCCTCAAAAAAATAAGGGCCTACGATGCCATGCGCTGACATAGCAGCCCAAACTGTACCATTAGGGCTGTGTAAGGGCTTCTGATGCTTACGCCTTGGATTTTCGGGGCTCCAATAACGGCAATTTTGTTTATTTACATGCCCGTTTAAATGGAAGTGAGCCTCGTCCGAGAACAACACATTATTGAGCGAAGAAAATTGATTCAACATTTCATTCGCAAAGTTTAGTCTCTGAATAGCGTCATTATCTTTTAATTCCTGCACTAACTGAATTTTGTAAGCGTGCAGACGTAAATCTTTCCTTAAAATCCGCTGTAAAGATGTTCTGGGTACGTTTAGTGCACTGGAACGCTTACGAGTAGACTGGGTAGGATTTTGACGAACAGACTGTGCCACAATGTTGATGTTTTCTTCAATACGAGTTGTCCTTGGTCGACCCCACCGCTGTTTATCTAACGTCGAACCAGTCTCTTCGAACTTAGCAACCCAGTTCTTAATCGTTTGAGCTGTTAGACACTTTGTAAAATTGTGTAAATTGTGGTATTCTCGATATTTACGCCGCGCAATGGTTGCCGAATCATTATTTTGATAAAACGCGCGCACACAAAAAGCACAATCCGCTCCAGTGAAACACTCCATGGCGACTGAATTCCCAGACACTGAAGATACTGCCCCCACCTCGCCCGCGCCGCTCACGCTCACCCGTTAAATTTTATTCAAATTTGAAATTTCAAAGGACTTATGGACCACCCTGTACCAAATATAAATCTCCTACAGTTATTCTGAAGCTTCTGTAATTTTGACTTGCATGGGTAAATGAGGACTAGAGAGTAAGCTAAAATTATCAATATGAGGCTTTCGCACAAGTTTTTACGGCACGGCAAAGTTTAGAATATGGCGATTAGAATATAAGAGCTTCATCTCCATATAGCTCGACTTCATAATTCAATTCACATGTATGTTAAATCTAAGATTTGAATCAAATATAACATCTAGATTGTTATCAAAGATAAGATAAACGAAACGCTAGTTGTATAACGTCAGTATACAATTGAATGTAACAATTTTCTAGTCAGTCGAGCAGACCAAACGGGTATACTATGAATAAAAGAGGCCCCAGTATTGGACCCTGTGGATCTCCTGATGAAACACACTGTGCATCAGAAGTCCCTCTAGATGTTTTCACTTTTTGGGTGCCATCAGTTGGGTAGGAAGAAATTTAAAGGAGCTTCTGACATGCCATAATACTTTAGCTTACTCAAAAGAATCTAAAGATTGATCGAATGGAAAGCCTTGGAAAAATCAAGCTTGACCAACACCGTGCCGGGTTTGTCGTCAAGGTTGTGAGTATCTTATCTGCAAGGGGTAGGTAATGCAGTAGTCATATTGCGACCAAACCAGATTGGTATATTGGAAACTGATTATTATTGGCAAAATAACTGTTGGTATACGTCAAGGTGTCTTGGAATAAATAATTAGAAATTCTCAAGAACTGTTTAATCGACTTCAATTTTGTTGTCGTTATAGACAAGTATAAGTCCTTCGGCTGTGAGAAACTTCAAGTATCTGCTTGAAACTATCGTCGAATTACCAACAAGTGCCAAAATCTGTATTTTGACCATATTTTTGGCCATCACTTTTTTGCTCTTAGGTGTGATCTCATTTTGTAGGTCCCGTGAATACCTATAAATCTTATTTGAAGGAGTTTTGATGAGTCCCAAAAAGACCTTTTCTCATTCTTTGTTGTTGAGTACAAAGTTTTCCCAGAAAAATTGGTGTACCCATTTTATGCGTCTATATTTTGAATACCCCCTTGAACAACTTACATTCAAGTCATCGTTGGTTGTCAGAGCGGTCCGTGGGACCTTAGCTCTTGAGTCACAGTGTCACTTTGTGAGTCTGTCAGGTCTGGTAACCCAGAAACCAGACGATTTTAAGGAAAAAAGCTAACTTAGACAGAGCTGACAGCAGGCTGATGGGACGATAATCCTGAGGAAATATCGAACCCACTATCTTTGGAATAATTACGTTATAACTTCAGCGGTCTTCCACGCAGATGGGAAGTACTGAGTCCTTAGCATGGCATTGACTATTGCCACGAGATAAGTTAAGGACTTCCACGAAAGCAACTTCAGCACCTTAATAGTGATTTGATCCTCTCCAGGTGCTTAACGCACTTTAAGGTCTTTAATATGACCTTGAATCTCTGCTGGTGTGCAATGCGGGATCCCGGGAGATTTCGCTGATTTGCTGAGCAGATCTCCGGCTGAAGAAGCTTCTGATGAAGAAAAATCACAAACGGTAGCGCGACTGTCACTGACGCCGTTGGCCCTAAAATATCTCCTGAAACAACTTACATCAGTAGAACAAAACTTATATAGATAGCAGGTTTCTTATCCATAAAAGGCGTCTTCCTAATACTCCCAGGCTTCTAGATACGGTGACAAAAACAGGAAAAACAGTCAGGACAGTGATTCTTCCAAAAGAACATGCACTAATCTAGTCCAGACCATGTATTCCATTTACGAAACAGTACAACCGAAACGGTTCACTTTTCTAATCATGAAGTAATACTTTATCGTTCGAATGGCGTTCTTGATTGAATCTGCACCAGAGAGTGAACAAAACATGTACCCAGAACATCGACAAGGGGCCTAATGAATGTGTTAGAAGCATACACAGCTGCCGGATGGAAATTTTAATTTTAAAACTCATTCCCGGAAAAATTGCATCGACACTACGTGCAGTGCTGTTCATCAGTTATTCCGTTTTGTGTTAGCAGCCATGTTCATACAAATTATACTTTTATGGTCGAGCAGGCGACTAACGATAATCACGTATGGTAAGTACAGTCTCGAAAATGGTGATATTAGGCTGATTTTCATTAGGCCTTCGGAAAATTCCGTGATTTTATGCCCTTGCAGGTAACCTTGTACAGGGTGGCCAACTCAGAATGCAAGTTACTATATCTGGCAACCTATCCATCCTAGATGCTTGTGGTAAAACAGATATACTAAGTGACATATAAATCCGAGCACCCAGTTTAAATGGTTTTTACTTAATGAAGCATAATAAGTAAATGATAAAAATTTCAAAATGATTGCACTGCTTTAAAGCCCTTTGACCTTTAATAATGTGTGGATGCACCCTGATGTGCTACGCATTCTCCAACGCGCCTAGACATGCTTCTGATCAGGTGGTCAATGTCCTCCTGTGGTATCTCATTCCAGGCAACCACCAACTCCTCTCGAAGTGCTTCTAGAGTCTGAGGAGGACGTTGCAAATTGAGCAATCTCCTACCCATCATATCCCACACGTGCTCAATTGGGGATAAGTCGGGAGATCTTGGTGGCCATGGTAACAATGTGATATCATTATGTTGAAAGAAGTCTATTGTGACTCTTGCAACATGTGGTCGTGCATTATCTTGTTGGAAAGTTGGATCTGCCAGGGTGTCGAGATAGGGTAAAAGATGGGGTTCTAGAACTTCGTGGATATAACACTGCGCGTTCATGTTACCTCTGATGAAGATTAAAGGTGACCTGGAACCATAAGCTATAGCACCCCAAACCATAAGTCCAACAGTGTGATGAACTTGTTTTTCAACAAAAAACTGTGGATTCCTCCTTTCACCACGTCGCCTTCTAACCCTGGCACGACCATCGTGCATGCCTAAACAAAATCGAGACTCGTCATTAAACACAAAACTGTTCCATTCCTGATCCCAGAGTGACCGTCGTCTGCACCACTCAAGGCGATTACGTCGGTGTTCTCGAGTTAAAGGGAGGACCCAGCGTGGCCGGTATGAAAACAAGCCAAAACTTCTCATTCGTCGGTAAACACTTCGCATGCCAATAGGTCTTCCGTGTTCTGCAAACCATTCATTTGCAATGGACCTGGTAGTGGAGAAACGGTCCCTTAAGGTCAATAATCTTAGGCGGCGATCTTCACGGTCTGTTGTTCTACGGCGGCGTCCAGTGCCCCTTGCTCTTTGCGTACGGCCTTCTCGAAGCCATGCCTGACAACACCTAACCACAGTGTCTACACTTCTTTGCACTCTAACTGCAATTGCCCGAAAAGAAAGTCCAGCTTCCCGAAGTCCCACTATACGACCCCTATCAAACTCACTAAGTTGACGAAATCGTACAGGTCTCCGTACTCTAGGCATCGTAACCGATCGTAAAGGATGTCAAGAACCAAAATCCGCCAACGTTGATTCTTTACTGCGGCTGAAATATTCATTTTTAGAGCGTTAGTGTATTAAAAAAAAGCAGTATAAAAACCGGAATGTCCAACTGATAAGGCTGAAAATTTTTTCACTTGTTATTTACAGTAAGATAAATACATTCACCAACTTTTATTAAAATAAAACCATTAAAACTGGGTGTTCGGATTTATATGTCACTTAGTATATTATTATTGGTGAATCATTGTTCAGTACATGGTCAACTCCCATCAAAGTTAAAGTGTTCCACCATTACTCCAGAGCTATATAAAAATATTGAAATCAAGTCAAATCAAGTATCTTGAAAATGAAGTCAAGCGCCGGATCAGTAAGTCAAATCTTACCTTGAATGCATCCACGGGAAGTCTACAAGAGTACTCTTGTGCCAGATTTCTGACCTGTTTCTGCTGATAGAAGAACTTCGGCACGAAAATAAGTAAGGTGGCCGCTGTTTGTGACAGTTGAGCACGTATGCACCAAGCCAGTAGAGCTATTTGAGGAGGGAGTCCAGGAAGCAGCCATACCCTTGCCGCGTAGAAAAGCGTGCTTACTGCCAGTTCTATGGATATCGCTGCACAGAGATAGGTCCGCTCCTGGAAGGAAAATATTCAGTTAAATGCAGGATAGCATGAAGCAATGATATCAATATTGATGGTCTAGTGGCTTAATCACGTATCAAATGTTTCCAAACTTCTTCAGGAATCGCGAAAAAAGTTTTAATATCGGTTCATTCCACGAACTGTTAAAAATAGCGTGTTACGTGCCAAGATTACATAACTTTTTTTACTACTTTGATCACTTACCAACACTGATCAACAGCCAAAAAATATCCTAAATAAAATCAACAAAATATTACTATTTTTAATGTGCCAAAACCGGAATGAAACTTATTTTTTCAATATTAGTTCAAGTTTTAGAGATACGGTAATTATATGTGTTCCTGCTGTGACAGTGTTAATATACTGTAATTCACAAGAATGCACGTGCTACATTTTTATATTCGGCAAGGAAAGATGATGTAATCGGCATGATTGTGTTACGTTATACATACGTGTACATTATATTGTTTTATATTAGCCATTTTTTCCTCAGTTGGCTGACAGCGTTCATGCAAGATGTCTCGAAAGTGTGTAAACAATCCAGATCAGTTTTGTTACGTGTGTGGTGATGTGACTTTTGCGTCTCAGAGACGGTCTATTGCTCCACTAATAACAAAGACATATCAGCTTTATTTCGGTTGTAAACTAGGTGATCAAGACAAACAGTGGGCACCCCACATCTGCTGTAATACGTGTGCTTCAAGTCTGAGGAGCTGGTTAAATGGCAAAAAACGGTCTATGCGCTTTGCTGTCCCAATGGTTTGGAGAGAGCCTACAAATCATATTAATGATTGCTACTTTTGCATGGTACCTTGTGTTGGACAAGCCACAGGTATGTCCAAGAAAAAAAATCGGTTGTTAACTACCCAAACATATCATCTGAGATGAGACCTGTGCCTCACAGTGACGAAAATCCTATTCCAAAACCCCCAGAATCCTACACTTGCGAATCAGAAAACGAATCAGATCATGGCAATCGAGTGATTCGTCAGGAAGAAGATATGCCATCAACGTCAAGAGATCCTGATTTTATACCGAGCACGTCATGCCACCAACCGCACAAAATAACACAGTCAGAATTAAATGATCTTGTAAGAGATTTAGAACTTCCAAAATGTAAGGCAGAGTTACTTGGATCAAGACTGCAGCAGTGGAACTTGTTAGAAGACGATGTTTCGGTATATGTTTTTCGTAAACGCCACAAAGACTTAGAACCATTTTTCAATATGGAGAATAACTTGGTTTTTTGCAGTAACATTAACGGCTTACTGGCGGCTTTAAATATAAACTATAACCCAGAAGAATGGAGATTGTTTATAGACAGTTCAACATTGAGTTTAAAGGCAGTGTTATTGCATATTGAAAATATTTTACCATCTCTTCCTGTAGGGTATGCAGTTCACATGAAAGAATCATATGACAATATGAAGTACCTATTGACATGCATAAAATACGATGAGCACCAATGGCATATTTGTGGCGATTTGAAAGTTGTTGTACTTTTACTTGGGCTGCAGTTTGGCTACACAAAGTTTTGCTGTTTTTTGTGTGAATGGGACAGTCGGGCAAAGGCACTTCATTACACCAGACAGAACTGGCCTGTTCGTCAATTCCTAGAGCCAGGTCAAAAAAATGTACAGCATATGCCATTAGTAGACTCGAAAAAAATTTTATTACCACCACTGCATATCAAGTTGGGCCTAATGAAAAACTTTGTCAAGGCATTAGATAGAGATGGGTCAGCTTTTCAATACCTGCGTCAGAAATTTCCAAGACTAAGTGAGGCAAAGGTTAAAGAAGGTGTTTTTGTTGGGCCACAGATTCGAAATATTTTGAAAGATACACAGTTTGAAAACACTTTAACAGGTATTGAAAAAACTGCTTGGAATGATTTCCGTCTGGTGGTCACTAATTTCTTGGGAAATAGGAAAGCTGACAACTATAAAACCCTTGTCAAAAATATGCTGTCATCGTATCAAAAGGTGGTCTGTAATATGTCTCTTAAGATACATTTCCTACACTCACACCTGGCTTTTTTCCTGACAATTGCGGAGCCGTAAGTGATGAGCACGGCGAACGTTTTCATCAGGATATTTCAACAATGGAAAAAAGATACCAGGGAAAGTGGAATTCTTCCATGCTTGCAGACTACTGTTGGACTCTTGGTAGAGATGCTCCAGAAACGATCCATAAAAGAACAGCAAAAAGACAGCGCATATAGTGGTTCTTATAAGTATATGAATCTTGTTACTTTTTTTAATATATCCTTAAAAATAAAAAGTTTTTTTTTAAACCGCAACTAATTTTTTTATTTCATTGTCATTTTTGGATTCAGCGCCCCAAAATTAACAAAGAAGTGCACTTTTCCCACAAGATACAATTAAAAAACTAAAATTTGTTGTAATTTGCACTTCTCTTTATTACTGATTCCTAGGCCAAACCATATTCAATGATTTTCTTTTGGCAAATTTCATAATTTGTTGATTTAAGGAGCTCAAAGCTACCTAACCCTCATAGTATAATTTCAAACATATTATATCTGTCTTTCTTAACGACTCAGTATTGTGTTGAAACCTTTTGGACACTAATGTTATAATATTTTATTAATAACTGTCCCAGAAATTTCCTAATCAAATATCGTTGGTCCCTCGTAAAGTCGGTTTCCCATAGGCAACCAGTGATGTTGTATGTGTAGGTTCGGTTGCGGAATTTTTGTTTCATCTCGGTCACTTCCTGTTGAAGCGTTGATTGAGAAGGTGTATCGGCCCTCCATCTGGTTTCCAAATTTTCTGATATTAGGCCCCAATCACCAGTTTATGGAGTAGTACCTTTTCCGTGCCTACCTTACCTTTGTGTGGGTTGTTTAGTTGTACTTTACCGCAATTTTTTTGGGATTTCGACCTCTTCAATGGTAGGTTCTTTTTTTATATCATCCGAGCACGGGCATTAATGCATGTCCAGAAGAAGTTTGTTCAACATCTACTTCCTTTTAGTGGGAAGGTATTAAGGCATTTTTCTGTTCAAATATGGGACAGTGTCTACAATGGCACCTTGAGCTGCTATAACTATTTTATAACAAAACATAACTTGAGGAAGGTATATTATTTTAATACGATTTTCTTTTTTGGCCTTTGGTTTACCTTTTTTATAAAAATGTTAATGGTTTTTCAAGTTTGAGTATTCTAAAGAGTAGTTTATTTCATAAAAATAACAGAGAGTGTATTTTTTTCCCCTGCACCGTAAAGTTTGAGTGTGAGACAACCAGCCTATACAATGTATCACTACAAACATGTTGAGAAACGTGTTCTCTTTTTGTAAATATCAGCTAACCAGTATCATCAACCAATCACTGAGTACAGGGGAAGTGCCATCATTATGGAAAAAAGCAGTCATAACACCACTTGCAAAAGTTAATAATGCCATCGATTTTAAGGACCTCAGACCAATAAGTGCTTTACCTTCAATGTCCAAACTGTTAGAGAAAATTGTAGATGATAAACTTCGTGAGCATCTAGAAGTCAACAAAGTGTTGCCTGACACCCAGTCTGGGTTTAGGAAATTACATAATACATCTACAGTGCTCATTAAAATTTCCAGTGATATAGTGAAATTTATAGACGATGGCATGATAACGCTACTAGTAATGCTAGACTTCAGCAAGGCATTTGACATGGTAAATCACAGAGTTTTGTGTGAAAAACTGCACCATTATGGTTTGACCGGAAATGCCATGCTGTGGTTTAGTAATTACTTGTTTAATAGATCTCAATGTGTAAAATTGCGTGGTAAAGTGTCTACTTTACGAGCTTTGAAGTCTGGTGTTCCACAAGGCAGCGTTTTAGGTCCTATTTTATTTACTATCTATACCTCAGATCTGATAAAACATATATCATCTGACTGGAATGTATAGTCAACGCCAAACAAAGTGGCGTGCACGTCATCACGATAAAAATTCCCCGACCTAATGCCTAGGTTTCTATCACAAACAATTGCTCTATTGCAGTTTCATATTAATGTGATATATAAATTGTAAAATGGTCATTACTCTCTTATTATGGTTAATAGTCATATAAACATTGTTATTAAAATATCACATAAGTTGCTTTCTGATAAATTTAGACGCATTATGCGAAATAAAATGTTTTGCAAACGCTCCAATCACTTATCGACATGTAAACGCACTAAACCGATTTCGCAGCGTTGACACATTGTCACCTTGAAACTTATTTAAACTGGGAACTGACATTTGTATTAATTTTGACACTGAATCAATTTGTGGCATTTCAAATCTTTATAAATCCTTTGGCCCCGCATACTGTAAATCAACAACTGTTTGTTTCAAAACAAAATTATTCATTTTACGAGTAGATAAAGGCAATTTTGGTATATAAAGATGCCCAAACAGTTAAATAGTCGGTGTAAGGAACTCGTGGCCTCGTTAATGCACTACTTTGAGCAAGAAAGGGACAACAACGGGCCTTTGTTGCCTTTAAATGCTGTTCAAGAGGTAGGTTACTAATAATTATATGTAATGTATATTAATAATAGTGAAATTTTATTTCATTTTTTGTAGCGTGTTGCTGCTGCTTTAAAAATTAGTTTAAGGACAGTTAGTCGTATTTCCGAGTGTGTGAAAAGTGATGCAAATTTAGAATCGCCCTAGAAAAAGCGGAGTTATATTAAACGTGTAACCAACACAGCGACATTGGATACAAGTGCCATTCGAGAAGTGATCTATAATATGTATCACAAAAGTAAGATCTTATTATAATAACTTATCAGAAATTTGCATTAATTTGTTAAGTAAATTATAATGTCATATTACACATGGTTTCAGAAGAACAAGTTACGATACAAACTTTATGGTCTCGATTAAGAGATAGGGCATTATTTGATGGTAGTGCCACGTCTTTAAGGCGGTTGCTTAGAGATCTTGGATTTAAGTGGCTTAAGGACAATCCGCGACGAGGGCTCATGGAACTACCAATTATAGC